AAAGGACTGCGGATGCTGTGAATCAGGAACAAAAACAGAAGTTGCTGGAAAAGCTCAGCAGGCCTGGCAGCATCCGTGAAGGAAAGAAAAAATCAAAGTTAACGTTTCGGGTCCACAGAAGGGTCACCCGAAACGTTAGCTGTGATTTTTTTGTTTTCTTCACAGATGCTGCCAGGCCCGCTGAGCTTTTCCAGCAACTTCTGTTTTTTGTTCCTTCTTACTTCTTCCTGGGTTTGGCGGAGTGTGGAAGTACAGGGCCTGGCAGCCTCCCAGCACTTCACATAAAAGCTGCAACATCACAGGTTGAGAAACTTTATCACCACTGCGGAATCTAGCAGCAGAATCCAGTGAACCTCTCAGTTCAAGAAATGCTGGAGGATGACTAAAGACAAAGGCATGAGTGGTTCGTGTGGGGCTGTTCAATGAGTGCACATTTCTCCCTGTTTATCTCTGAGCTGTGCTCTGGGGCAGTCACTGGCTGGGAGCCTGGATTATACCATTACCCCAGTTAGCACCTTGCCAGAGATGAATGCTTAGCCCTGGAGACCCCAACTTATTGAAGCTAGATCTCCCGCTCACTGCTTCCAACATCTCCAGAGAATAATTCGCTCAATTTTTGATGATTATTTATACGAATATGAGAATGCCTTTGGGGAAAAAAAAGGCAAGGTTTTGTCAAAGCTTTTTGCCTTGCACTCATCGGAACAATTCGCAAGAAATGATGGCGTAAAGGGGAGCAATGTTTTTCTGCAAATAAAAGCAAAATAACGCAGATGCTGGAAATCTGAAACAAACCCAGAAAATGCGGGAGAAACTCAGCAGGTCTGGCAGCATCTGAGGAGAGAGAAAGAGCTAACGTTTCGAGAATGGCATGGCTTCTTCAGAATGGTGAGCAGAGTGTGCTGATTGGTTAAGCCAGTGAGCTTTTATTGGGTAGAAGCCAGTCAGCATCCACTTGCCAACCAGTTGAGCGGACGCTGAATGAATAGAGGCCACTCAGTGTTGATTTGCCAGCCAATCAGCACATTCTCCTCAGGCATTGGTATTCTTGTGAATTGTCCTGATGTGTGCACGATGAAATGCTTCAACAATCTGTGTCCTTGTTTCAGAAATAATCAAGTTCTGTACCATCAAACGATTATTTATGTATGAATATCAGTGAGGGGTGGTGGGTGGGAGCTGTTGTGATTGGTGAATACTGTTTGACAGACAATGGAGAATCATCCAATTGGGGTGATGAAGAGTCTACCCAATTTTCCTATTGGCTGAGAGAAGGCAGTGCTTTGTGATGATGGGTGCTCAATGCCGGGAAATTGGCAGCAGGACAATTGGAGGTGGAAATATTTATATCCCGCGAAGCCTCAGCCTCAGAGAAATCCCAGGAAAATACTGGCAATACTCAGCAGCTCTGGTAGGACAGGGAAATGGAGTTAACATCTCAGGTCAGTGACCTGTCGTCAGAAACAATGCCTTTTGATTGGAAGGTCACCAGTTTGGGACATTGACCTGGTTTCTGTCCACAGGCACTGCCAGACCCGGTGAGAATTTTCCGGCGTTTTCTGTCCTTGTTTCAGACTCCAGCATCTACACCATTTTGCCTTTGTAAAAATGACGCCCTTTGACACTGGGACCTTGCCTCGGCTTTTGGTGTCCCTCAGCGGTTTCCATACATGTTGTTTGGTGAGAAAAGCCTGTGTGTTGCACGTACAGTCAGAAAAATTGGTTATTCATTTGATGCCCAGGTCTTGAAGGGTGGAGATTTTGTCGTTAGAAACCAACAGTTTGGTAAAAGATGCAGGTAAGAACAAGGGAGTACTGTTTGACCTTACAAATGGAGACTAAGAAGTACAATCAATGGGTAAGATGGAAGTGAACAAGACCTGAGGCTTCGTCCATTAACAAGAGCTGAATAACTATCTGGTTGTGGCTGTGGTTTATAAGAGTGGTGTACAGACAGAGGTAATCAAAGACAAAGATAAGAAATAGGACAGTTTGGCCATTCGAACATGCTCTGCCGTTCATTAAGGTTATGCCTGATCTCCTACCTTCACTCTGCTTTCCTGACCCGTTACCTCGGGAAACAGTCCGTACAGTAGGAGAGCAGAGATTGAACATGCAGGACCTCCTGTTTTGAGCATTGGCGTCATAGAGTCAAAGAGATATACAGCACAGAAACAGACCCTTCCGTCCAACTTGTTCATGCCAACTAGATATCCTATATAAATCTAGTCCCATTTGCCAGCATTTGGCCCATATCTCTCTAAAGTCTTCCTATTCATATACTCATCCAGATGCCTTTTAAATGTTGTAATCATACCAAACTCCACCACTTCTTCTGGCAGCTTGTTCCATACTCACACCATCCTCTGCGTGAAAAAGTTGCCCTGTAAGTCCCTTTTAAACCTTTTTCCCTCAGCTTAAACCTAACCCATATCCCTCCAAACCTTTCCCTATTCATATATCCATCCAAACGTCTTTTAAATGTTGTAACTGTACCAGCCTCCACCTCTTCATCAGGAAGTTCATTCCACAGATGAGCCAGCCTCTGTGTAAAAAGTTTGCCTCGTGTCTTTTTGAAATCTTTCGTCTCTCACCTTAAAAATATGCCCCCTAGTCATGAAATCCCCCATCTTAGGGCAAAGGACACTACCATCAACTCTACCTATACCTCTCATTATTTTACAAACTTTTATGGGGTCAACCGTCAACCTCCTATGCTCCAGTAGGAAAAGTCCCAGCTTATTCAGCCTTTCTTTATAACTCAAACCTTACACACCTGGCAACATCCTGGTAAATCTCTTCTGAACCCTCTGCAGCTTAATAATATTATTCCTATAACTGGGCAACCAGAACTGGACACAGTATTCTAGAAGAGGCCTCACCAATGTCCTTTACAACCTCAACATAACGTCCCAACTCCTATACTCAAAGGACTGAGCAATAAAGGCAAGCGTGCTAAACACCTTTTTAGCCATCCTGTCTATATGTGACCCAAACTTTAAAGAATTATATACCTGTACCCCTAGGACCCTTTGTTCTACAACACTATCCAAGGCCCTATCATTAATTGTGTAAGCCCTACCCTTGTTTATTTTACCAAAATGCAATACCTCAAGTTTATCCAGATTGAACTCCATCTGCCATTTTCAGCCCATTGACCCATTTGATCGAGATCCCTTTGTAATCTTAGAAAAACCTTCTTCACTGTCTACTATGCCACCAATTTTGGTGTCATCCGCAAACTTACTAACCATGCCTTCTATATTCTCATCCAAATCATTTATATAAATGACAAACAAAAGAGGACCCAGAACCGATCCCTGTGGAACACCGCTGGTCACAGGCCTCCAGTCTGAAAAACAACCCTCCACCATTACTCTGTGTCTCCTGCTGTTAAGTCAATTATGTATCCAATTAGAGATAGTAAGAACTGCCGATGCTGGAGTCAGAGATAACACAGTGTGGAGCTGGAGGAGCACAGCGGGCCAGGCAGCAACAGAGGAGCAGGAAAGTTGACGTTTCCCGACCCGAAACGTCAACTTTCCTGCTCCTCTGATGCTGCCTGGCCTGCTGTGTTCCTCCAGCTCCACGCTGTGTTATATATGTATCCAATTGGCAAGCTCACCCTGAATCCCATGTGACCTAACTTTACTAATTAGTCTACCATGCGGAACCTTGTCAAAGGCTTTACTAAAATCCAGATAAAAGTCTACTGCTCTGCCATCGTCAATGTTTTTTGGTAACTTCCTGAAAAAACTCATTCAAGTTTATGACACATGGTTTTCCTCGCACAAAACGATGCTGACTATCCCTAATTTATTTTTTTGCCTCTCTAAATGTCCATAAATTGTATCTCTTATAATCTCCTCCAACAATTTACCCTATGGCCTCTAGTTTTGGATTCCCCTATCCTGGGGAAAAGACTATGGCTATTTACTGTCTCCATGCCCCTCATGATTTTATAAACCTCTGTAAGGTCACCCCTCAGCCTCTGTCACTCCAGGGAGAAAAGCCCCAGCCTATTCAGCCTCTCCCTATAGCTCAAACCCTCCAACCCTAGCAACATCCTTGTAAATTTTTTCTGAACCCTTTCAAGTTTCACAAGAACCCTCCTATAGCAGGGAGTCCAGAACTGCATGCAGTATTCCAATAGTGGCTTCAGGAACTGTTTATTGAAAACTTTTTTAGCGAGGGATTGTAAATATTTTGAGTAGAACCCATGATGAGATGCTGTTGTCCCATGATCTGTGCTTTGATAGTCTAAATGAACTTCTCTTGATTATGGAATTCATTCCCAAAAACTCTCGACATTGAGAAAAACATGATCTGTCCTCAGCACGGGTTGAGTTTATAATTTATTTAACTCCTAAGCAGGAAGCAAACATTTTTCAAATTAAACAATTTTTAGTAGGTGTGGCGCAGTGGCTCAGTGGTTAGCACTGCTGCCTCACCGCTCCAGGTACCTGGGTTCAGTTCCAGCCTCGGGCAACTGTCTGTGTGGAATTTGCACATTCTCCCTGGGTCTGCATGCATTTCCTCCAGGTGCTCTGGTTTCCTCCCACAGTCCAAAGATGTGCAGGCCATGCTAAATTGCCCATAGTGTCTAGGGATGTGTAGGTTAGGTGGATTACCCGTGGGAAATGTAGGTTTACAGGTATAAGGACGTGGGTCTGGGTGGGATGCTCTTTGGAGGGATGGTGTAGACTCAATGGGTCAAATGGCCTGCTTCCACATTGTAGGAATTCTATGATGTAATATTACTGAATGGCAGAATAGATTTAAATGGCCAAACTGTCCTATTTTTTCTCTTTGTTTTTGATTATTTCTGTCTGAACGCCACCTTGATAAACCACAGCCACAACCAGACAGTTATCCGGCCCTTGTTAATGGAGTAAACCTCAACTTTTGTTCACTCCCTTCCTTACCTATTGATTTTACTTCTTAGTCTCCATTTGTAAACTTTATTCCCTAGTTCCTAATTGTATCTTCTGTCAAACCGAAATTGATAATCTGACCATCCTTCAAGGCCAAGGTGTCAAATGAGTTATCATTTTTTTGACTGTAAGCACAGCATGGAGGTTATTTCTACACTAACAACATGCATGGGAACCACTGAGGAACACGAGAAGCCTAGGGAAGGCCCCAGTGATGAAGGGCACCCTCTGTCTTTTAGAAGATGGTGAGGAAAGAAAGTTGGCTCCCTTTAGATTGAGACACATTTTCAAACTTCGGGGTGTGAGCTCTGTGTTTTGACATTTCAGTTTTCAATCTGCTGCTGTATTTTTGCTGCAATAGCGCAGTTTTCTGTCGTATATTGGCATTTCGATAATAGAAACTCTGTGTGATGTTTTCCAGCCATTTGGAGTGGTCATGAAGGTTGGGGAAATGGGTTTGGTTGGGCTAAAGGAGTGAGTACGTTGCTGGAAGAGTGTTAGTATTTTGCAGGGGTGAGGGAACTCCTGGCTAATGAGAATACTTTTTGGGAGGCTCTACGAAAACGTAGAGGTAATCTCTCAGTCTCTTGCCCAGAAGGCTTTGGAGCTGCCAGCTTTTTAAAACATCTTGGCTGGACACCAAATCACCGAGATGCTTTTCGAAGTTATTTCGGTGCCGTAGTCTGATCTGAACCGTGTCCCTGGAGAAGTACATCTGCCAGTTGTGGAGACTGTTGTGTTGAGTGGCCTTTCATAGAGAGAGTGCATGGGGGTGTCTTGAGGCTTTTGGGTAACCGTAGAGTTTCCCTGAAAGATTTTCAGGTGATGATTCGGTTCCTTTTCCATTCACAATGAGCAGCAAAGTGAGAATGAAGAGAACGGAGCTGGGGACAACTTCATGCACTCAATGGACCCTCAGCTGGAGAGGCAGGTGGAAACCATCCGAAACCTGGTGGACTCGTACATGGGAATTGTGAACAAGACCATCCGGGACCTCATGCCCAAGACTATCATGCATCTCATGATCATTAATGTAAGTACAGAACTCGGCTTCCTCTTTCTGAGTGTGTTCTGTTGGAGCACAGCCAACTCTCTTATTGGCTGGTCCTACACTGAGGTGGGACTTTCTGACTCAATTGGAAGCCAGTCCCACCTCCAATCCACTCGCGGTCCATCAATTGGCCGTTAGATGGGTGAGCTTGCAACTGGATATATAATTGGCTTAACGGCTGGAGACAGAGAGTAATGGTGGAGGGTTGTTTTTTGGACTGGAGGCCTGTGACCAGCGGTCAGTGTTTCACACTGTGACCACCAACAACGTCCCCAAACTCCCTCCCCACTCTGGGATAAATAAGATCAGCCTCGGGTCACAGCTGGTACTGGGTCACTCTGTCCAGAAGTCGAGCCAACAGCAGGAAGGGCTGGTCTTTGCCTCTGGATATACCCCCACTATGAGAAAGTCCGTTTTGATTTCGGGGATGTGGAGAGGTGCCGTCTTTCATTTCTCCCTAAGCAGTGGGATGGATCCTGCACAATGCTTGCTCAGGCTTTATTGATTCCAGCAGGAGCGGCTGCTTTGGTCTGGGGTGGGGTTGGGGGGTGTGACCCGGTGTTCACATGGGATGCCCTGGTCTGAGGCCTGGACCCATTTCTTAGAGGGGTCAAGCCCCATTTTGTGTTCCAGATGGGTGCCCCTCGCGTTATTTATAGAAGGGATTAAAGCTCGGTTCAGGACTAATGGCAATCCTTTTCTCTTCGCTTCTCCACCACAGACGAAAGACTTCATCCAGTCCGAGCTCCTGGCCCAACTGTACTCGTGCGCAGACCAGAACATTCTGATGGAGGAGTCTCCAGAGCAAGCCCAGCGCCGTGAGGAAATGCTGAGAATGTACCACGCCCTGAAAGAGGCCTTAAATATCATCGGTGACATCAACACCACGACCACCAGCACCCCTCTACCACCACCTGTGGACGACTCCTGGCTGGGAGTCAGGGATATCCCATCTGGGCGAAGGTTAGTGGACTGGAGTTCCTACACGTTCTATACATGTGGGTAGCACAGTGGCTCAGCAGTTAACCCTGCTGCCTCACAGTGCCAGGGCACCGGGTTCGATTCCACCCTCAGGTGTCCGTCTGTGTACATTCTCCCCGTGTCCGTGTGGGTTTCCTCCGGGTGCTCCAGTTTCCTCCCACAGTCCAAAGATGTGCAGGTTAGGGTGGATTGGCCATGCTAAATTGCCCGTGATGCGCAGGCTAAGTGGGTTAGCCATGGGATATGCAGGGTTATGGGGATGGAGCAGGGGTGTCTGGGTGAGTTGCTCTTTGGAGGGTTGGTGCAGACTTGATGGGCCTAATGGTGGAAAGAGGGATTCGATGTCAACTTGCCTGTGTCATGACCTGCTGCCAAGTTATTGGCAGTCACTGTAACCTGCCTGCTCGTTGGGAAATGGAGGCCATGTGCAGGGCTGGTTTTATACCCTATCTGAATCCACTTTCCATTGAAATCCTGCTCATGTGAGCTTAAGTAGGCTATTCAGCCTGCTTCCCCTCAGATTCACTTTCTCATTGACACCCCTGTCCCTGAAAGGTCAAAACACTGTCAATTTTAGTTTTCAATATAATCAATGGTCCAGAATCCTCTGGGGCAGACAATTTCAAACATACACACACACACACACACACACACCCCCAGGTCTGGCAGCATCAGTGGAGAGAAATCAGAGTTAACGTTTCGCGTCTGGTGACCCTTCCTCCGAACAGATGGTGAATTCTATGCTTAGGCCATCAGGCACTGGTTTCAAAATCTCCCCTCCTGCCCCGGCCTCATCCCATGTGCAACCCTCCCTCTCATCCCCGCCTCCTTGACCTGCCACTTCCAGTTGATCTCCTTCCTCACCTATCCGCCCCATCCTTCCCATTGACCAATCCCCACTACTCCCTACCTGCATCCACTTATTGCCATCCCACCTACCTTGCCCCAGCCCCACCCCCTTCCCTCTATTTATTTTCCAGCTCCCTTCCCCCTCCCCAGTCCTGATGAAGGGTCCTGACGCAAAACGCCGACTCTCCTGTTCCTCTGATGCTGCCTGACCTGCTGTGTTCCTCCAGCTCCACACTGTATCGACTCTGACTACAGCATCGGCAGTTCTTGCTATCACCATGAAGGAATCTCCTTCTCAATATCTCCCCTCACCCATTGCGTGGTGACCTTCAGGTTAAACCACTAGTTGTCTCTCTCTCTCTCACTCTCTCTAATGAGTGGCTGTCTGGGATTATAGCAACTTCACTTTATTGTCGAAAAGAATAACACCATTTGTCACCTCATTGCCCAGGTCTTTAACCCGTGCATATCACTTTGCAGCCTCTTTGTATCCTCCTCATGGCTTACATTGCTGTCTAGCTTTGTATTATCAGCAAACTAGAATCCATTCAGCTTTCTTTCTTCATCTAAGACATTATTATAGATTGTAAATAGCTGAGGCCCCAGCACTGATGTCTGTGACATTTCATTAGTTGGAGTCTGCCAACCAATCCCCTTTGCGTGCTAATGTATTATCTTCACATTTACATGCTGTTGTCTTCTCACACAGCATCTCTCTGCTCAGTAACTTCTGTTAGCTCTGTGTCTCCCATTGTGGAATTCTCAATCTAGTGTTTAAAAGTCTTCGCTCTTCTCTATGTTGAGGAAGTGATGGCCTAGTGGTATTATTGCTGGACTGTTAAGCCAGAAACCCAAGGAGTGTTCTGGTAACCTGGGTTCAAATCCTGACAAGGGAGAATTTGTATTTAATTAAAAATCTAATGTTGACCATTGTTAATTGTTTGGGTTGGTGTTGTGGGGGGTGCAGGTGATGGTGGAAACATTTGGCTCTGGTCTACATATGACTCCTATCTGCTTTCTGGGCAATAAATGCTGACTTTAAACAAAAATCTCTGCAACTTTCTCTGGCTGATGAGTCATTCTGACTTCTGTATGTATCTCCTAACCATTAGAGCTCTAGCCTTGCCTACTAAAGAGTACTATGGCTAACCCACCAAACCTGTACACTGTAGGACAAATTATCTAGCCTACACATCTTTGGACTGTGGGAGGAAACTGGAGCACCCGGAAGAAACCCACGCAGGCACAGGGAGAATGTGCAAACTCCACAGAGAGTCGTCCAAGGGTGAAATCAAACCTGGGACCCTGGCGCTGTGAGGCAGCAGTGCTAACCACTGTGCTATCCATGCATAAAGTAGTTGATGCTGGGACCATTGCGAATCACAAGAAAAGAAATGGACTTATAAGGGGCATGTGTAGCTCTGCGATTTAACTCTGAAGGCCTTCATCTGTACTATGATCTCCTGCGGTCCTTTGTTGATTGGCTGTGATTCATAAAGTCTTATAGAATTCCTTTGTTTTTTTTTGCTCCTAGATCTCCAACCTCAAGTCCTACACCCCAGAGGAGAGCTCCAGCAGTTCCTCCAGTCAGACCTCTGTCCCGTGGCCCTGCACCAGGACCTCCCCCACCCGCTGGCCCCCCTCCTCAAGGACCCCCGGGTAGCGCCCCACCAATTCCCTCTCGCCCCGGTGCCTCTCCAGATCCTTTTGGGGCTCCACCTCAAGTTCCCTCCAGGCCCAACCGGGCTCCTCCTGGTGTCCCCAGGTAAGTCACCTTCGGATCGGGAATGAGTTACGTTCCAAGGGAAGAGAGGGGGAGGTTGTGGTGATCAGAAAGGCCAGTTTGGACAAAGACATCAGTCATGCGAATCCTCCTCTGTAATCAGTGGCCAGCACTTTTTCTTTCAAAAATATACTTTATTCATAAAAATATCTTTGTATATGCAGTCACTGAAGCAGTTTGGTTCTGTGCAGTAGCATATGAAGAAACAAACAAACACTGGAGTTTGACTCTGTCCAACAAACAAACCTAAGGCATTTCTTACTTGTACAAGATTATATTTGCATTTATTTGAGGCATTGGGAGGTCCCAATAACTGAACGGACCCCCATTTAACTTTGGCAGAGAAAACTTAAACAGTGGTCTTTCCCCTCAGTGGCCAGCATACTTAGATGAGACAAGAGTGAGTTGCAATCAGCACTGCTCTTGTGCACCCTACTCAAACCAAGTTCCGCTTTATGTCCTTGTAATTTAGTCTTTGTTAGCTACTGCTAGTCAACAGTAGCTGAACAGCTCAATATTATTCAGAGTAGGCTAGTGAACAAACTGCTCTTTTTGTCTCTTCAGTCTTTTAGGAATTCAGACCCTCTTAGAGTTATCAAGCAAATTCTTCCGATTGGCCGGTGCACAGTCACTGACCTCATTCTTTTATCAATTGAAGAGGTGTGTCATGGCATTTTAAAGGAGTCGGGAAGGAAAAGGTGCTCGTAACCAAGGAAAAGGTGCTAGTAAAACTGATTGGCCTGAAGGTGGACAAATCACCTGGACCAGATGGACTCCACCCCAGAGTTCTAAAGGAGATAGCTGAAGAGATAGTGGAAGCGTTAGTGATGATCTTTCAGGAATCAATAGAGTCTGGGAGGGTCCCAGAGCACTGGAAAATTTCTAACGTGATACCCTTGTTTAAAATTACAGGCCGATTAGCCTAACCTTGGTCATGGGTAAGATTTTGGAATCCATTGTAAAGGATGAGATTTCTGAATATTTGGAAGTGTATAGTAAAATAGGGCAAACTCAGCATGGTTTCATCAAGGGGAGGTCATGCCTAACAAATCTGCTAGAATTCTTTGAGGAAGTAACGAGCAGGGTAGACCAAGGAGAGCCAATGGGTGTTATCTACCTGGACTTCAAGAAGGCCTTTGATAAGGCGCCACACAGGAGGCTGCTGAGTAAGATAAGGGCACACGGTGTTAGAGGCAAGCTGCTAGCATGGAGAGAAGATTGGATCTCTGGCAGAAAGCAAAGACTGGGGATAAAGGATGGTAGCCAGTGACAAGTGGTGTTCCACAAGGATCAGTGTTGGGACCACAACTTTTCACTTTGTACATTAATGATCTAGATGAAGGAACTGTGGGCATTCTGGCTAAGTTTGCAGATGATACAAAGATAGGTGGAGGGACAGGTAGTATTGAGGAGGTGGGGAGGCTGCAGAAGGATTTGGACAGGTTAGGAGAGTAGGCAAAGAAGTGGCAGATGGAACACAATGTGAGAAAGTGTGAAGTCATGCACTTTGGTAAGGAGAATAGAAGCATGGACTATTTTCTAAATGGGGAGAAAATTCAGAAGTCTGAAGTGCAAAGAGACTTGGGAGTTCTAGTCCAGGATTCTCTCAAGGTCAACTTGCAGGTTGAGTCAGTAGTCCGGAAGGCAAGTGCAATGTTGGCATTTATTTTGAGAAGACTTGAATATAAAAGCAGGAATGTACTTCTGAGGCTTTATAAGGCTCTGGTCACGCCACATTTGGAGTATTGTGCGTAGTTTTGGGTCCCATGTCTCAGGAAGGATGTACTGGCCCTTGAGCGGGTTCAGAGGAAGTTCACAAGAATGGTCCCAGGAATGGAAAGCTTAACATATGAGGAACGTTTGAGGACTCTGGGCCTATACTCATTGGAGTTTAGAAGGATGAGGGGGGATCTAATTGAAACTTACAGAATACTGAATGGCCTGGACAGAGTAGATGTTGGGAAGATGCTTCCATTGGTAGGAGAGACTAGGACCCAAGGGCACAGCCTTATAGTAAAGCCAAGACCTTTTAGAATGGGGTTAAGGAGAAACTTCTTCAGCCAGAGAGTGGTGAATCTATGGCATTCAGTGCCACAGAAGGCTGTGGAGGCCAGGTCATTGAGTACATTTAAGACTGAGGTAGATAGGTTCTTGATTATGAAGGGGATTAAGGGTTACGGGGAGAAAGCAGGAGAATGGGGTTGAGGAACTTATCAGCCATGATTGAATGGCGGAGCAGACTCGATGGGCCGAATGGCCTAATTTCTGCTCATATGGTCTTATAGAAAGGAATAGACAAACACAAGGTAGATACAGTTTAGGGTGAGCGCTCATTCCAAGTTACTGAGCTCACCCAGAAAGGCAAGGCTGTTTCCCCTCATCTCTTAATACCTGCCTTACCCTAATCCCATCCAATTATAATTGTAGCATCAAACTGTATCCCTTGAGTATTTGAGTATGGACTACTTTGACCCCATTTTTCCAAGCAGGTATTGTACAGGATCAGGTGGAATATTGAATTTACATCTGGCCAATATTGCTTTATATTGAATTCAATGGAAGGTTCAGTAAGGTAGGATGTGGAACAGTCCTGTTCCCATCAGTCACATTATAAATCTCTTTTGGCAGTGCTAATTTCCTTGAATGTTCCCTCCCAAGGTGAAGGCCTTCCTGCCATTAGGAAGTTCAAATCTGTCCACCAGCTTGAAGCTGAAATTTGTTTAAGTATCCCACAGCTGTAGTTTATTTAAAGTTCCAGATATGTCTGCTCAGGTCTATTGTGTCCTAAAAAGCTAACCACAAGATTTTGACCAAACTGGTGATTAAAGACTGCTGTGAGTGACTGAGAGATCTACGAAAAGGTGACAGAAATTCTACCAAGTAGCTACGAGCTGTCAAGGAGGGAGGCAAAGAAGTGACATTGGGTGGATTAGCATTGACTAGCCATGGGTGAGGACCTCAATATTCAGATCTGCAACATGCAATGCACCAAATGTTTGTCTCCAGTCGTGTGGATGGAATAGCGATTCTATTACGAGGCTGATTTGCATCACCTCCCAATTGTTTGTTCCTGCTTTCAGTGTCTGGTTTCCTGGCCAATATTTAGCCCTCGACTAAGATTATCTAATTAGTTACACTGTGATGTTTGCGGGAGCTGGCTGTGTATAAATGGATTGCGACATTTTCTGACATTGCAATAGCAATTACATAAAGTCACATTAAGGCATCCTGGATAGGTGAAAGGTGCTATATAAATGCAGCTCTTTTGTGTCTCTCTCGTTTTCCACGTTGTTAAATGTCTTACTAAATTTATAACATAAAACATTTATGACGTGTTTCCATCAGAGTCAGAGGAACGGAGATTGACGAATACGAGTGAAAATATTGTTCCTTTGTTTTCAGATGCTGACACAGCCAACCTGTGTATTTTCACTATTTTTATTCCTAAATTTTGGGGTAACGGTAGAACAGTGGTATTGACACTGGAGTAGTCATCCAGGGGCCCATGTTAATGCTCTGGGCCTTGGCAGCCAGTAGAATTTCAGTTCAGTTCATTGAATCTGGAAACGAAAGCTTGTCACAGAAATGTTGACCATAAGTGTTGACTGTCTGTTTCACTCATGTCTATCACCCCTCACTGCAGCATTTGCTGGAAGTCAAGCCCCCTTATTCCCTGAGCCGCCACGAAATGTAAAGATTTTTATCGAAACTCCCCGATTTACCTGTTTTTTTAAGACCCAGGTTGACAGAAAGCATTGTCCAGCTATCTGTACCTAAGAAGAACTGCTATTTATTACATGAAATAACTATGCAGAGGCTGGTACTCTGTCCCCAAGTCATCCTTTTTTGATATGTGCACAGTACACTGGCTGTGGTGAGCTATCTCAGAGTTAGTCCCTGAAATCAGGAGACTCTCTGAATCCACTTCCTTTTTATTTAATTTTTTTTCATTGTTTTTCTTTTTTTTTCGGTCCCTGAAGTGAGAGGATGCTGAATCCCTTGTTTCTATTGCTCAGCCAGGGATGCCTGACTGGCCCAGGTTAACAACCCCAATCAAGGATCTCAATCAATAAGATCCACCTGGTTCCAATCACTACAAATAAACAGATTCTAGCTACAGGTAAATGACTGTGAACTGTCAACATATAACTCTCGAGTTAAACTCTAAACTACTTGTAAACACTTTCTACAGACGCATACGCAGACAGAGACTTGCATCAGTGTGTTGGGTGGAGGGAAAGCGTGAAAAGGGAGTTCAACTGTTCTTTCCACAGGGTTTGCTGAGATGATTGTTTTCCTCGCCAGCACTTGCTGCTCCTTGTCCTCTCATCTCCATGTACTTTTCACTTCCTTGCAAGAGGCATAGAGCAGCTGGTTCAGAAATTATAAAGTCTCTGACTTCTTGGTTAAAAGCAAGCTTACAGAAACTGGTAAGGGAAAATAAACTGGCCTCCTTCAGGCTTTAGGTTTTTTTTAACTGTAGGTAGACACACAACACACCACCACTCCTTCCAGTCGTCCAAAGGCTTCTGGCTATATTATTCATATCCACAAGCTGATTGGCTGCCCAGGAGCCAATCACATTGCTGTTGGCAGGCGGATGGCCTTTGTCATTAACAACTCCATAGACCAATCAGCTACTTCTTGCTGGCCGAATCTCACTTTGTACACACCCCATGGTGCCACATCTTTAAACGCCTTCCCAGTTGGCTGGACAAAGCAGCAGCGTAAACACCACTTACAATAAGTTTCAGTAACTTGCTTTTTAAAGTTTAGCAATCACTTCTACCAAGCTTTTTTTAAACAAAAATAGTTCTCCCATTTCAATCTGCAATCAAAAATGCAGAAAAATAACAAAAAGATACAGCCTTTGTATGTCTGTTAAGGAAGGAAATCTCGCTTCCTCACCCAGTCTGTCCTACATGTGAGTCCAAACCCACACAGCAATGCAGTTGACTCTGAAATGGCCTAGCAAGCCACTT